TTTGTCAGACCTGAGATACATTTATACTTCCACCAATCAGCAGCATGCACTACTGAGGTTGTAAGTGTTCATAAGTGGTCTGTAACTCATGTAAGTTAAGTGTTCATTTTGTTGTTTTGCAGATGTTGTTTTGCTCAACCCCCGCCACACAGAATCACAGATTGATCAACTATTACATCCGAGTCTGTGTGTAGCAATTGCAACACATGTGCGATGCTATGGCGCTGGATTAGTTCAAAAAATTACATACAGGAAACTCACTTACACACAGATGCCGAACACACACACAAATGACTAAACACACACATGTCTCATATTGTAACACATTTGATCAGTACTATAGGCACATTTTCAAGTTAAATGTGTTGTTCTAACTAAAGTGTCTTGAATCACCTTGATGAGATCAAAAGCGAGACAGAATGCTGTTCCTTTCTTCACCATCTGAAGCAGCAATTTCCAGCACTCTGGATTGACCCTTCTAATTTCTGGCCCAAGTGCTCAATACCTTCTTGGAATTTTTGAGGATTGTGGCCATTAAGGAGGAAATGAGCCATTATATATATTATAGGGGAGTTCAAAGCTGGATTTTGAGGCCGATTTGGATGTGGATTTGGATGTGGATTTCGGATGGATTTTGGCTGGTCAAGCAGCAACATTTGGCAAGGTGAGTCGGACTCTGAAACACGTGCAACGTGACTTACACACCATGGTCTTGTTACTGTACAATGCAACTAGATCCTCCTTTGCTGCCTATAGATCAATAGCTTACCCTGAACCATGACGAAACACATAAACAACTGACATCGCAAACACCTGTCAAATCTGTTGATCCGAAGTCCCGCAAGAAGAAGGCCATTCCTGTGCTAGCTGCACCTGACTTCAATTCTGTGTCCGTATTCTGGCTCAAGAAGTGCAGTCTCATGCCTGGTCTTACATTCTCATCAGCTGCAAAGAGGGTATATACACCGATTTTGCTTGCTTGCTCTTTAACTGTGTCCATTCTCCTGACTCAAGAAGTGTGGTCTCATACCTGGTCCGAGTCTTGCATTCTTCAATGAACTCATCATTTGCAATGAGGGTATGCACACTGGTTTGCTCTCAGTTATCAGTAGTGCTCGATTTTCTGCAATACAAGTGAAATATTTGCCAGGGCTGCAGCGGCCCAATGATTCAACATCAGGAAAACCCTCCTGGGGAAAAATGTTATAATTTTCACAAAAAGTTGTGATTCAGATAATTCTATCTAATTACCAGAATTAGGAATAAAATCGCTAGAAGACGATAATGTACAATGTGAATATCACAAAATATCAAGAACTACTTGAATATACAAAATGTGTATCTATCTAAATATGAGTTCAACCAAAAAGTGTTACAATCATCCAGAAATGTATCACTCATCCATTCTCATGGGACGACAGCACCAAAAGTCAGTATCAGATGGACACTACACACAATACTTGTCAATTTTTCACCACCATGGAATGATCACGAGACCTGGACTGTTGGCAGCAAAAGTTGAGTCTGAAAAGTGGTGTAGACCAGAGGGTCCAAAAGGAAACACTGATACAGACCAAAACACGCTAGAAGTAGTAGAAAGGGAGGTGGGTGGGTGCGAAAAAACGAGAGAGTGATGGGCAAAGAAGATGGGCGCAGAGAAGAAGAGACAGACTTGGTGATATCTGATGAACAAGGACAACACGTGTAAACAAATAAACAAAGAGCCTCGTTGAATATTTGTGCTTATTTACTCTCATGCTTGTTTATCACACGGTTCCATTTTTTTTTTCACTCGCATTCTTCCACCACCACCACATCATGTTTGAGTCTTGTGAGTGTGTCGATCCTCCTTTGAGCTCGAGCCATGCTGATCAAAGGTGTCACCTACTGTTCACAGAATGTGAGTGTCAAACCTCGTTCGAGCTTGAGCCATGCCCAATGTGTTGCCCACCATTCGCAGGAAGTGAGTGTGTTCTACCTCGTTTGAGCTCGAGCCCATGCATTGTTCACTGTTCGCAGGATGTGAGTGCCAATCCTCGTTTGAACTCGAGCCATGCTGGATTCCAAGGTGTTGCCCATTGTTTGCAGTGTGAGTGTGTCTGTCCTCCTTCAAGCCTGAGCCATGCTGATCAAGTCATTGTCTGCCATCCACAGTGTGTTGATCCTTCAAGGTCGAGCCATGCTGATCGAAGTCGTTGCCCACCATTCGCAGTGTCTTGGTGAGTTTATCCTTTTTCACAATTGTTTTTTTATAATTACCAACTTAATATTTATATGTTTAGTCATTCTAGTTTTTTTCTTTCTAGATCTGTATATTTGCGCTTGTTCACACTCATCTACACATGTTCACACTTGTATGTACTTCTCCATGCTCATTCTTAAATGTCCACACTCATTATTGCTGTAAGGGGTACAATTTTTATGGGCTCCATTTATCCAAGCCAGGAATTCGGTATTTGTGGTCATTTGTAGCATAACAGTAGTTACCAGTGTTATGTACTTATATTTTCTGATTAAATATTAGTCCATTTTGCTTGTTACAAACACTGTCTGACGTGCGTTGTATTCTACGCAAGATCAAGATTCGAGAACGCGTGTAGAATGAGGTCTATGTGGCGACACAGCCTCTCGAGTTTTTCTCACACTTCTTGTTTCGTACTTCTACCTAGTACTCACAACGCCTCCACTGCTTGATAATGCTCTCGTTTTGTCGCAAAAAAGAACAGTCAGACAATTTTGAATAATTATGCCAAGAATTCGAAACGATCCAAATTTCAATATCTGTCCGGACTATGCATCAATTAACTTTGCAAACACGAGAGCACAACTCATTAATGAGAACGTCGATGAAGAACAAGCAATTCAATTACTCAGGAACATATGGCGAGCTAACAACGAGACAGACAAGGTCTTGTGGCAGCAGCAGTTAGCTGAGGACAGAGAGCAGCGGGAGCATGCACAAAGGATACAAGAAGATGAACAGGAACAAGTCGAACAAGAACGCATCGACGAAGAAGATGCCGCACGCAAGGAGGAAAGGAAGAAGAATAAACATAAGTATATTCCAATCCTGGACATGGGCATTCCAGACGAACCGTCTGTCACACCTTGCTCATATGTTCTTCGTAAACTAGACAAAGGTGAATACGTTGAAATGTGGTATTTCACAAATGATGGGCTAGACGAGGCATTAATCAAGAAGACTATAGATGATGATACCATGGTTCTATCAACCTTGGCGGACGGATCTACAGCCTGGATCTCTTTGGCATCAGCACGTAACACTAAGTTGGTTATCAATGACGAGAACTTACCGTTCGAGGAATTTTGTCAGGCATGTCCTCGCTTTCTAGTTGCCTTGGAAGAAGCAAACTGGCCGGAAGATCGAATCAGAATGATGGCACTGTTCTGGAGGAACATACAGGTGCACAAGTATCGTTCTTTGCGCGACCCAATAGTGCAAAAGACTCTTTTGGTCTATCAGGCCGAGCAACACAGACACTGGCACATAGCAGCGAAGTCCTCGACAGGACCATATAACATTTCGACGGTTAACTAAAAAAGTACTGGCAGACACGAGGGAGAAAGTATACTGGGAAGAACGGCTCAAGAAAGACAATGTGCACGATTATAAGGTCAGTTTATAATATATTCTATTACGATTCTATGTTCATCTTTATCGCATTGTTTCTTTTGTCATGCACTTAAAAATTCATACAATACAACATGCAATCGTCACGCTGTTGTATTGCTTCATGCCACATGCCACATGCTACATGCCTCACACCACATGCCTCGCATCACGCATCTCATGCTACATGCTATGCGACGCCTACACTGCACAATATAATGCGCCGAACATGCGCTCAGTCAGAACAATGGGTTACGTCCGCATCCAGGCACAGAGACTCGAGAGAGTCGCATAAGCGTGCAGCTTCACCCAAGTACGGCAACAGAACCAAAAGACCTAGGCAGGATTTTCGTCCAGGCACAGGCGGAGGTGTTCTATCCGCCTGTGCCGTTTGTCTTGGATGAAACCCGCACAGGATTATCGAGTGCAAGGTGTCCAAACTCTGGGACGAATCGTACAATACTCTCTGCGCACGAATCGGCAAAGTACTCACCATGCGAGACGGGAGACCAGTCTGCAGCGACTGGCAAAGAGTCAAAGGCTGTTCGGACACCACCCACGACCGAAGGCATTTTTGTTCAGGGTGCGGCAGCACGTCCCATGGAGCTCAGGCTTGTCCTCGAGCTCAGAAAGCGTAAGGCAGTCACACCATACAATCCGGACAGGTTGGAACACAATCTCGTCAAAGCAGGTCTGCTCAACAGATATGCGCACATTCCTAACAGCCTTCACAACGGTTTCATTCTTAACATCCCTAATATTAAAGTCACACAAATGCCGCCAAACAAAGAATCCATTGGTACATACGAGCGAGAGTTTCAGTCTATTATTCAAATGGAACTTAAGAAGGGAAGATATATTGGTCTGCTCAAAGCTGATGAAGTCCAGAATCTCATCGGACCTTTTCAGTTGTCTCCATTCTCCATTATACCCAAACCGGGACGTCCTGGACGGTATTGTGTCATACAGAATTATTCATTTCCACACTCTACTTCTTCTAAATTTCCTAATGCATCAATCAACTTGTACATTAATCCAGATGATTTTCCTAGTACTTGGGGCACCTTTCACGTGCTCGCGCTCACAATCAGCCGGCTTCCACCAGGATCTCAGATCGCCATCAGGGATGTCTCCGAAGCCTATCGCACGATTCCAATTCACCATTCACAATGGCCAGGAGCCGTCGTGCGAATCTCAGAAGAACATTTCTGCATCGACACGTGCATGTGCTTCGGCCTGCGACCATCAGCCGGAGCCTATGGTAACCTGGCAGACGCTTGTCTTGACATATTTCGCTCAAAGGGGATCGGGCCAGCGTCGAGATGGGTCGACGATCATGTTTTTATTCGCATTCTTACAGAACATATTGCAGCATATAACGAAAGGAGAGAAGCAATGGCATAGAGACATTACAGAGAGAGGACAGCATCAGGATGGAGGAAGGATTTGGTTTGGGGGACACATATTCGAAGACGGAACCCTGGAGGAATTCGACAAGGATTGTCGATTCCCTATTGCAGACCTGTCAGGGGCGTCAGTTAGATCGGCAGAAGATGTTCGATTCTCGTGCAACCTATCGGACATCGACCAAGTCTCAGACGATATTGGCGTTCCGTGGGAATTTCTCAAAGACAAACCTTTCGCTTACTCGAATCCCTACATCGGGATCATTTGGGATCTGGCACAAGACAGAGTATATTTGGCGGAAGAAAAGAAACAAAAGTATCTCACAGCGATTGAGCAATGGTCGCAACGGAGCACGCACACTCTCCTCGACGTGCAGCAACTGTATGGTAAGCTCTTACATACTACACTCGTCGTTCCCAAGGGACGCGCATATCTTACGTCGCTGGAGGCGATGCTGCGCCTCGTGATGGGTAAACTGTTTCTCCCACGGAGACCAGTTAAGAGCCTTGAGGGTGATCTCAACTGGTGGAAAACACTGCTACAGAATCCGTTTGTCGGTCGTGTCATTCCCAAACCGCTTACATTATTCAATCCAGCCGCATATTCAGATGCCAGCACGAGCTTTGGAATTGCTATCGTCATTGGAGACAGATGGCGAGCATGGCGTTTGCGTGAAGGATGGCAGACACTCAAAGGACAAAAGGACATCAGTTGGGCCGAAGCGGTGGGGTTTGAATTCCTTACTCAGTACATTATCGCAATGGGAAGAAAGGAAAGGCACTTCAGAGTATTTGGGGACAACCAAGGAGTTATCGAGGGATGGAAGAACGGACGTAGTCGGAATACAGCGGTTAACACCGTCTTTCGACGAATCTTCGACCTTATCCACGATTCCGGATCGGCTTACTCGTTCCATCCAGTGTACGTCGCAAGCAAACAGAACCCAGCAGATGGACCATCCAGAGGGATCTATAGCAGCGCCGAACTTCTTCTCCCCGTTCTCCCCATCCCAGAAGCACTTAGACCCTTCCTCTCTGACACGAACACCAGTTACAACGAAGTGTTCGACCATGATACAGAAGGAAGTCTTAATGACGCCAATGATAGACCTGTTAGCATCGATTCCGGCACAAGCGACAGTGAAGAGATCCGATACAGCACAGATTCCCAT